TATATATATATATATACATATACAAATATCGTATACATATACATATTATACCTATGTATAAACGCTCTAAGACTTTGGCAGTGATTTAATAAATCGATTATCCGGCACGTCCGATAAGAGCAGGTACGCGCAATTTCTTTCTCATTTTTTTTCTATTGCGAATCCCGCCGGCTACGATCCAGAATCGATATTTAGTATTATTTACCTACGTGCTATCACGTATGTCGGAAATATCGAAAAGTCAATTTGATGTCTTATACAAGCATTCGCGGAATAAATCTCCTTCTTCTTCTCGAATTATCGATATAAGGTCCTCTTGCTGGTAACTGGCCGGCCTCTGTGCATGATCGGCAGCAAAACTTTGCATAGTATTTGTGTGTACAATACTTGGCTGCAACAATAAGTTCGCAGTTGGCGAAAAACGTGTTATCTTGGCAATGGGGATGAATAAAGATACCTGAAAAAAATCAATCATATTAATGAAACGTATATTGAATTGTTTGCATGGAGGAATATGTGTATAAAGAAAGTGTGTACATATCGATGATATGAATCAAAGTCTGCACTCACCAGCTACACGTATATCAACATTATCAGAATCCGAAGAGAATTCATTGGCTGCTTCGCATCGATATCGGCCAGAGTTCTCTCGACTTGCATCGCTAATGATAAGTCGATTGAGTTCTGCAAATAAAAATATATAATATATAATATATAATTTTTATTATTAAATCTGTAATATATTTGCAAAGAAACAGTTGCTTTATAACGCTTTTTAGGCTTTCATGAATATCTTCAAAGATACCAGAAAGTTTGCGGGTTATCGCCGTGTTTTCATCCATTGCTAATGCCAACGTTTCATGAACCTTGCCGTTCACTTCATCAGAACGAGGAGCACACTGATACTATAAACTGCTCCTCCGGAGAACACCCTTTACGTATAGACGCTGTCACGAAATATTGACAGTAGCAGTGGATGAAAACACGGCGATAACCTGCAAATCTTCTGGTATCTTTGAAAATAGTTGCTTTTTATAAAAAGGTATCGACATTAAGACTTATGACTTTACCAGAAATCTTTATTCGATTATTGGTTCGAATAAGTTCATCGTCCTTATACCAGAGTACACGTGGGATCGGATAACCATCGACGATGCAAGCGATGCTTATGTCACTGCCTTCAGGGAATTGTGATTGTCCTGCTGATACATTGACTTTGACCGGCACTGTGTGATAAGAAATTGAGACATAAGGTTTATTAATATTCTCAAAGCAGTAAAAACTTTTTATTCAATAAATATTAAGAAATTATTTTCTCTCAATAAGAGAATGTATAAAATCTTCCTTTGGAATACTTTTACATCGATCATTCTCATATTTCCTTGTAATGATAGAGAGATACATTGTTAATCATATTAAATTCTTAGAATACACGTGAAATAGTCAATAAGCAAGAATTGTCTTAACGCAGCTTTAGTCTTATAATACAATGCGATGTAAATTTTCATATTAGGCGTGCATGCAGAAAAAAGAAATTAATTAAGACGAATTTAATTACATCGTTATATTGTGACCAGTAGTGCGGAGTAGGACATTCTGGAGAAACTTTATTTGAAAGACAAGATACAATGAAAAATAAATCTTTCATCCATGCACGTGAAAACTTTATGGGAAGTTTAAAGCAAGAAATTTCTGAGAAAGAAGTAACTAACAAATTAATTTAATCACAATCATTGGTGTAACGTAGCTAGACACATAAGTATCAGCCATCACTTAGCCTCACCTTTGAACTTGGCGCTACTGAGCTCAGTGGTAGTGATTTCAAGAGGAACAACGCGAGGAATGTGAGGTGGTTTCGAGGAATAGACGGGAGCGTAGGTTTGATGTTCTGGAGGAGACTGCGTTCTGGTAGGCCTGTAAGGATACTGTGGTTTTTCAGTAGTGGGTCTCTTTGGTGGTTGGACAAGATATTTGGTGTACTCTTCGTGTTCAGATTTAACATTGTAGACAGGTCCGACTGCTTGCAAGGTTGTCGACCAAGAGGCCGGTGTACCGATGCCATTAAACGCCTGGCAAGTATAAATGCCGAGGCTGGTTAGAGTTACCGAGCGTATCAAGAGAGTATAATCGGTATCTTGCTCGTAATTGTCCGAAAATAGAGGTAACATTTGGTCGCCACGCCACCAAGTGACAAATGGCCTCGGCCATCCCATAGCATAACAATGCAGAGTTATCGGCGAGTTCATCGTCACCGTTATACGAGTATCGGGCTCTCCGATGATAGCGACGGGAAGTTCACTTGGTTCTAAAGAATGCAGAAAAGAGGCATGCACGATGCTTAGAAATGTTAATTGCACCATCACCACGAAAATCGCAATTTAATTGATATCCAACTAGTACTACGTGACATTATTAAATTCATTTCATTTCATGCCAGCCCAAATGCATTTCTCTAAAACGTAAATCCACAATCGATATCTTAGTAAACGTATTTGATATTAGTATTAAGGGAAAATGGAAAAATCTATGTTATTCTAATATTCGAATGCATTTCATAAGACATTTATAACAAAGTAGTGCCAAAATCCCATGGTTGATCCATGATATTCTATTGGAAGTTAATATTGAGCAAAGATCATTCTTTGTGAAATAAATGGATTTTCTATGTACCTGTGACGTCTAATTGATACTCCGCCCTCACCGGTGGCCCTAAACCATTATCAGCGGTACATACGTAAGTACCTCTATCGTAAGTATATAAATTAATGATCTGAAGAGATCCATCAAGTAGTATACGCCGTCTTTTCTCTGAAGGCCCAATCTAAAACCGATATTCACAAAATATTTTTAAATTCTTCAGAAGATTATGAGAAATAGTTGTTCAATTATAATTATGTATTTGTCATATTTTTTTCGAATATAAATTATGTGTTTGTTTCGCTCATTCGAAATACACAGTAACATAATTTACCAATGTAGTATCTTTTCTCCACGTGATGATTGGTCTGGGAGTTCCTAGTGCGACGCATTTCAATGTAACATAGCCACCTTCTTGCGCGCTGACATGAGGTTCTTCGGATTGTTGAATCATCGCAGGTTCACCACCATATTGTGGCGGGATAACGGTAGGCCATGATGTTGTCGTTAAAATTTCTTCTGGTGCGGGTTCCAGACAGGATGTGCCGCAACCACTGTTACAACATTTCCATTCTACAGGACAGTCCGCATCCGTGACACATTCTTGTTCACATCTTGTGCTGTTTGATACTTTTGGGCAACGACCGGGTTTAACGACTGCAATATTATACACATACACACACATATATATATATATATATACACTTATTTATTTACAGACAAATTCATAGGGAGATGACTAAGTTTAATATAAAAGTATATTGTTAAAAATATATTTCTCTATATAAGTGATGATAACAATTTAACTGTCTTTCTCTCTCGCTCTCTCTATATACACACATATATATATATATCTTTAACATGCGCCGCTGTCCACATGTCGCTTATTGCGCAAATAAATTTTTTTCTTAGATGTATATATATATTACGATTGTTGCTAATTTATACGATCGTACAAAGAATTATTCAAGAATTGATATGACAAAAAAGATTTAGAAATAAAATAAAAATTTTAAGATACATAAGTTGCTTACTTGACTGACAAACGCCTTTGTATTCCGTGCCATCTTGCGTAGCGACTAGCGTAATGGCGCAACGATTACTCTCAGGACAAATTTTTGTTCTACAAGGATCGACACAACGACAGCGTTCGCAATCCTGTGAATCCACGTACTGTTCCTTACCGTACGGACAACGGATAATATTACACTCTTCCTTGGCCTCCGCGCATTGATCTTTCGTATCCTTTGAATCCACATCAATTTCGTTACTCGCTGTAATTATAAGAAATTGAAAAATTTTATTTTCTCGAGCTGCAAGCGTAATTCTAATATAAGAAAAGAAATAATAGCTATTGACACACTTGCTGCATAGAAATACGATTAGCATCCAGTGAAGGAGAGAAATACAAGCAGTACAATATACTTCAAATTTTCGTATACTTTAAAAAATTTTCTATGTTTCCAATTTTACTATTTGCGTTGAATGTCAGATACGTAAAAATTATTAAAAAGTTATTATGTTTTATTTGCGATTGTATTTTGTAGAAGAAAAATTTACATATATAATTTTATCTCATCCACGTTTATGTCTGATTGTAAATTTAATTACAATGGAAGAATTTTTAAATGTCTAAATTTTTAAATATATTTTAAACGATACAAATGCATTTTAATCGTATGTTAATCAAAGGATTGAGGGATAGAGAAAACAAAATATCGCGTGAACAAAATGGCTGAAAAAGTGGGAGAAAAGCCTTTAAACATATAGAAATACGTAAGGAAACGGAAATCGTATATAAATATGTACGTTTATAAAAAGCAATTGCTGTACAGTGTAGAGCATAGCTGAGTGGCAATATCTGTAATAATAAAAAGAAAGTAATAAACTCATTAACGATCTTTTATCCTAAACTTACTCCTAAGGCAAGTGTTAATGCAAGATTCGAAAGTCTTGAATCTGTTGCGATTGCCACCACATCCGGTATAAATAAACGCCCGGCACGTTTGGTGTTCCTCGTCGAAATAGAATCGTTTTGTGGCACCGGACGTGCAAGATCCACTATCAACTGGTTCTTTACAGATCGCTGTATCATTATTATAAACACTATTATACAATCTATCTATTTTAAACTAGTATAAAAATTCTACAAAAATATGATTAGAAAAATTAACAGTTTGAAAATACTGTTTGAGAGGAAACGAAAAAAGAGATAATGGTATAAATATATACGCACATAAATTTAAAACACTGGTGTCATTTCCGGGAGGTACAGGCTCTTCATGATGTATGCAAATAGACTCGCATTCAGAGATCGTACTGAACCTGTTAGCGTTACCGTCGCATCCACCGTAAATGAATTCACGGCAGGCATGTAAACCTGGTTCATAATAATATTTGCGGAAAGCACCTCTGCATGGGCCGGAGTCCACAGCGAGATTACACATATCTAAAAAGAGAACATTAATCTAATAAATCTCATTTTAATTATATTAAATAATCTTTTTAAAGAAATTCAGTGAAAAGTCTAATAAAAAAGTTAAAAAAGTTGAGACAATTACTAATAGCTTTAAACTCAAATCTTTAGAAGTTGATCTTTTGTTAATCGCTTAATGTGATTTAATAGTTTATTTGATGCCTATGTAGATTTTATTACAAAGTGGCAAGGAAACAATGTAAATTATATTAGAACTCGTTATAACCTTGTCTGTGAAATCTTCCGCAGAGTCGCTCGCATTGTTCTTCGGTTTGAAATCTATTAGCATTTCCACCACATCCGCCATAAATAAACGCCTGACATATTTGATGTTGGGCATCGTAATAATACGCGGTGATACTGTCACTACAATCGCCAGAATCGACTGACGCCAAGCAAATCGCACTCTTTGATTCTCCAGTCGGCGAAGTTATCGTGGCTAATGTTGGAGTAATCACCGGTGTAACCGCAGCCATTTGCCGTCTACATTTTTTCTCGCAAGATTCCCTATCTTGGAAGCGATTTTTGTTGCCTTGACAGCCGCTATACTCGAACTCGTAGCAAGAATCAGTGCGCTTGTCATAGTAGAATTGCTTTACGAAACCATCACAAGGACCGATCACTTCTGGTAGGGTGCAAGGATCTGAAATTTTCATAATTTTCTTTGGATAGTTGCAATACTTTTTGAGTTTTTTGTAATATGTAAATCAAATCAAAGTATTAAATAATTTTTTTTCTGTAATTAAATAATTTTATTTTACATGCTCCAGGTTTTTGTAATTTTTATAACAAGTATAATTTTTGGAACTTTGATTTTTTCATGTACCTACATACATTCTTATATTTTGCAGCTTTTTACGTTTTTATATACAGCTTATATATATATGTACCTTGAACTTCTCCGCAGCGATATTCGCATTCTTCGCGAGTATTGAAATTATTGCCGTTACTCTGACAGCCGCCGTATCGGAATTGTTTGCAAACACCATCACGACTATCGTAAAACCATTTTACTTGATTTTCGGAGCACGGACCGTGTTCGTCGAGTAAGAAACAGAATTCTAGAATATGTAAAAGTAATGAATAGTAGTGAATGTTGTTACTTTCGAATAATTTTTCAAGCTGTTAGAAACGTTACCTAGCTGGAATTCGACTTGTCCTGGTGGTGGCGGAGTGGTGATAACCGCTACACATCTATTGATGCAGTCATGTTCGGTTATGAAATTATTCTCATTCCCGCCGCATCCACCGTAATAAAACTGTCGACAGTGTTGCTCATAGGAATCGTAGTACCATCGTTGAGTGTAATTATGGCATTCTCCCAGAAGAGCGGGTAGGAGACAGATATCTTGCTCTGTATTCAACATGAATTTAAAAATTGTACTACATACTATATATATATATATATATGTATATATATGTATATGTTATTGCTTGTTAGAAAGTTTTCTAATTGATAGAAATCGTATAAAGAGAGAGAGAGAGATCGAAAAATTATTAAGAAATCTTACTTTCTTTATTAATACTTTTAATAATATTATGTGTTAATTAATATAGTGATAACAAATTTCGAAAGTTATGATATATAAATTTTTATATTACAGAATTTGAGAAAAATAAACAGAAAAAGAAAAATTGAAATAAGTATTTATATTTTATTTTTTTGTATAATTTTTTTCAAAATTATTATGAAATCTTACTTTCTTTATTAATACTTTTAATAATATTATGTGTTAATTAATATAGTGATAACAAATTTCGAAAGTTATGATATATAAATTTTTATATTACAGAATTTGAGAAAAATAAACAGAAAAAGAAAATTTGAAATAAGTATTTATATTTTATTTTTTTGTATAATTTTTTTCTACATATTAAAAAAGTTGTAATGTGTGCTATATATAATATAATATTACATATCATAAGCAACTAAATATAAACCTTTTTCAATTAATTTATAATTAAATTAAATGGAACTTTTTTTGTTTGTATACAATGCAAAAAAGGATAGTTTGTACCCAAGCAGCACAATTCATTGGCGAAACATTGGTTAAACGTTGGCATACATTGGCCTATGTTGGGCCAATGTTACGCCAATGAATTGTGCTACTAGGGTAGTGTTAATATAATAAAAAATGCAGAAAGAATAAGCGCTTTTACAAATATAATAACATTTGAAATAGAAAAAGTGTTGGAGAGGAAGAGAGAGAGAGAGGGGGGGGGGAGAGGGATATAAATATTAAGGGTAATAAAGTCTTACCAATTTTAGGCGGACAATCAGACTCGCATGCGTCTCTAGATTCAAAATTATTTTTATTGCCATTACAGCCAGTGTAATAGAATGGCATGCAGCGATTCTCCGATTGATCAAAATACCATCGAGATTGCTTCTCTATGCATGTACCCTCCGCCCGCGGCAACGTGCAAATATCTGTTAATCGTATTAATTATTATGTCATGCAGAGTTAGATGAGATATTAATCAATCCTATTCCAATTCCAGTTATTTCATTATTATACTTGTCGTTAGTTAAAAAATTTTTATTCCTACTGTTAGCCAAATTGCTCAGCTGCTACTTAACAGCTGTATGAATATGCACACTCAATTTAAGTAAATAATTTATAAGAACCTAAATTTATATACTAATTCCTTTTCTGTCACTGCCATATATTAATGCTAGAAGGTGATATATAAATATTATAATGTACACATATGCATACGCGCGCACATGCGCGTCTTAGACACATACAAACAAAGTATGTATATATGTTTTTTATAAAATTATTATATAATTAAAAATTTATAGAATAAAATATTATAATAAATATAGATAAATAATTTGCAAAATATTACAATTCTCTCTAATTGACTACAATCGGGTTTATATCAAGTGTCCAATGTTGCGAAAAGATTTTAATTTTAACATTAAATATATAAAATACAGTATGATATTTTACGTTAATCCTATTGTAAGAAAGATTAAAGAATTTATATTTTTATATTGTGTTGGGCGAGATTACGAGCAAGTGAAAGCGTGTATACAGATCAAAAAAACTGTGTAGCGCGCGATTGTGAAAATAACGTGATTATGTTATTCTAGTCTCGTATTGTGCTGCTAACATGTAATAGCTGGTAAACGACTCATTGGGTACATTCAGTACTACAACCGCTCACTGAGCACTCATCAATGAGTTCTTGCATCTGATTGATATATTCCGTTAGATCTAAAAATATAGGCCAAACAGGTACAAGAGACCGCTCAGTGAGCGGTCGTAGTACTGATGAATGCACCCATAGTCAACTTTGCATTAAACATTATTTTCGGTTACCATCACCTAAGAGCTAAATTTGTTCAAAAAAAAAAAAGGAAGAAAACAACGCTTTCTCAAAATTGAGCAAAAGTATTGTTTTCTTGTCACTGTGCATGATGTTACCACGAAGCAATTAAGCTCTTTTTCATTGCTGTCTATACCTTGTGAAGGACAACGCTGCTGGCAGGCAGCAAGAGTACGGAATCTATTGGCATTGCCTTTACAACCACCGTAAACAAATTGGCTACAAGTGACACGTTCGATATCGTAATACCAGCGTAATGCCGAACCCGGACAGGGTCCGGGATCTCTCTTCAAGGTGCATACATCAGACAGTTTTACTGTAAAAGTTCGTCCATCTATGCAATCAAGTCGATGAAGAACGACTAGAGAAACGATTACGAGTAATATCGGTGGCAAATGAATTTTGAATAAGCCCAACATATTTACAAAAGTACTACTATTCATTATTGATAAATTTATGCTTCACTTATCTGCTGAATAATCTCATAGTGTGCTTTTATTATACTTTTCAGTAAAAAATGTAAATGTTATATTATTGTAAATATTAAATTGTAATACTATTTAAATTTTACCTCACAAATTTCTTTTATATTATATAAAATGACGATTCTTTAATTTTGATAAATTTTTATATCCGATGTCTAACTATATGTGGATATATAAAAGTTAAATACTTATATGAGTATTTAACTAATATATAATACTTATATGAATATTTAACTATAACTAAATAAGTTATATGTATATATATATATAAAATTAATCAAATTTATACAATGGATTTAACTTATTAGATTAAAAAATTTAATAAAGTCGATAGTCATTATTAGAACCCGGATTATCCGCCGATCGACGTACCGATTCGAGTTGACCGTAGCACGTTCCTCACAATTCTCCCCACTGACACTCGCCCGAAGCCGTGGCGAGCGACAGAGCGATGGCACTTGGGGGATGAGGTGTAGTGGGGAGAGCTAGCTACGGTTGATGCGATCTCAGAACTTTAATCCGGGCTCTAGTCATTATTGTCAGAAATATTAAATCGATAAAAATATCAGTACTAACATTTCATATAATTTTAAAAACATTAATTAAACAAATTTGAAATAAATTTTGAAAGAATAATAATTGTATAATATCTCGTCTGATTAAAGTAATTTCAAATCATATTTTCAGACGAATGTCATAGATAATTTTTGTATGTAAAATACATGAAATTTTAATGCTTATATAAAAAGCGATAACAATACATAAATAAAACGAACCTTTCCTTCGACCTGGCTGTAAGCATTGTTGGTGGCAAGCGATTTCTGTCGGGAAGTTGTTGTCATTCGCTTTGCAACCACCGTATATGAATTGTTCGCAAGTTTGCGATTCTTGGTTGAAGTACCATTTTGTGAAATTGCCTGCGCAAGGACCTGCTTCTTTCGGCTGATCGCAAGGATCTGTAGGTAAAGTTTAAATAAGAAACTTACAACTGTCAATTTGGTTGGTTCATGAATTTTCTCAAGTGCAATATATATTTTATTTATTATTCGATTAAATTCAGTGTATAATGTAAGATTTTTTGAAAGACGTATTTATACAGGAGGGCAAAATAAATTAAATGAAAATATATATATATATATTATTAATCATTGATTACCGATGTCGTTCGGTGTGACACAAAGTTCTTCACACTCTTCTCTTGTTTTAAACTTGTTAGCATTGCCGAGGCAACCACCATAGACGAACTGACCGCATTGCTTTCTGCCAGCATCATAATACCATGTTGGATGATATCCTTCGCAAGGACCAGAGATTTTTGGCAAAAAGCAAGCAGCTGCAAAATAAAATTTGTTGTTGAATGTTTGAATCTAGAATTTTGATGTTTTAAAATTTAAATAGATTTAACTGGCTCGTTGTGTATAGAATTGGTTTCAAATCTAAATTCTATAAAGTGAAAAATATTGTATATTTAATTCTAATTTTATATTGCAAAAAAACGCAATATATATATGTATATGTATAACAATTAATTATTGTGTAAAATACTATATTTAAATAGAGTTACCTTTTCCTCTTGGTTGAACGCAAACTTCTTTACATTCTTCCTGTGTTTTAAACCGATTTTCGTTACCCTCGCAGCCTCCGTACCAAAATCTTGAACAACCACCGTAATCGGTATCATAGAACCACTTGACTGTAAAATCTCGACAAGAGCCTCTGTCTTTCTTCAAACCACATGCGGCACCGGGCACCGAAGGTATTGTGATACAACCTTCAAAGTTCTCCCCTTGAGCTTCCTCAATTCCGTCCGGGCAGCATCCATATTGCGATGCGTCGCAGGTGCAGCCCGCAAAATTTGATCCTTTAGCTGGCGTTCTACCATCTGAACAACATTTATATTCCATATTTTCGCATCCACAACCTGTAAACGTTACAAAATGTACGTAATTTTCTGCTCTTCTTATGCTTGAATTACTCTCAACACTTGGATTTTACCATATTTTTTACTTGGATGTACCATATTTTTATGTCGATCGTGGAATTACCTTGACCATGAGAGCCCTTGGCAATAGTAATACCATCGGGACAACATCCAAATTGGTAAGTGTAACATGGGCATCCCTCGAAATTGTATCCGCTGGCGGGAGTAAATCGATTCGGGCAACAACCATAAGGTGTATATAGACAGCCACAGCCCTCATTATTTAGTCCACGCGCTACCGTCGAATTATCCGGGCAACAACCGAATCTCGTGTATTGGCAGCCACAGCCGTAGAAGTTTGGCCCACGAGCTGGCAGACTGTTATCCGGACAGCACTTGTATAGTGTCGATAAGCAGCAACCTTCGTTGTTCAGTCCATGTGCTGGTGTTATTCCATCCTCGCAGCATCCGTAAACACTGTCGTGACATGGCATGCGACAACCATAGTTGTCCGGTCCGAGAGCTGTGGAAATAATCACAGGCGATGAAAGCATGTATAATGAAGATAGTTTAGAATAGTTAACCAATTTGTTTCGATTATCTATTTGATCAATTAATAACACGTATGATGGAATCACCAATAACACACACACACACACACACACAACATTATATAAAATATTATTTTCCAATTAATGGATCCAAATATTATGTTCCAAATATATTAACAGGTATATAATGTTAAATTAATATCTTTTCCGATTCAACAAATTTTGTGAATAATTCTTACAAAATTTGTGTTAATTATAATTTATTATTACGATTTATTGTAATAATTTATGTAACTAACCCGCGAAAATTCCATCAAAACAGCATCCAAAGTAGGACGCGCTGCAATTTTCGGTATTAATGACACCGCAACCCTCAAAGTTGGCACCATTTGCAATGGTAATACCATCAGGACAGCAACCATAAGTGGTGTTTGCACAATCTTCGGGTGAAACAGGTTGTGTTGTTATTTCATATACCTCCGTTTCAGAAGTGACTTCTTCCTCGCAACCTTATCACAACGTATGTCATTACTTAAAACATTCGAAAATATGTATTACACACACACACACACACACACACACACACACACA